GGACGCCTTCCTTCAGAAGCCAGCCACCGTGGAGTGTCACTAAGCCTCTGTCTGGCCACAGGGAGGTGGTGGGGCGGGTGGCACCCGTCATCCTGGACTTAGGCCGGCAGCCCGCTGCTCACTCCTTTTCAAATTCTTGAGTGAAAACCAGCCTTTGTTTTTTTTTGGTCAGCTTAAACTTAAGGTTTGGCTTTGAGGTTGTTTTGTTTTGTTTTGTTTCGAGATGTTGTCGGAGTGGAGTTTAGCGGCACGATCTCATCTCACTGTAACTCTCCGTCTACGCTATTCTCTTGCTTCATCCTCCCAAGTAGCTGGGATTATAGGCACCTGCCACCATACCCGGTTAATTTTTGTATTTTTACTAGAGATGGGGTTTCACCATGTTGGCCATGATGGTCTAGATCTCTTGACCTCGTGATGCACCTGCCTCAGCCTCCCAAAGTGCTGGTATTACAGGTGTGAGCCACTGCACCGGTCTATTTTTATTCTTATTTATTTGAGATAAAGTCACACTATCCCTTTAGCTGGCCTGCAGTGGCGCGGTCTTGGCTCACTACAACCTCCACCTCCTGGGTTCAAGCTAGTCTGCCTCAGCCCCTCTGAGTAGCTGGGAATACAGGCATTTTTGTATTTTTAGTACTGATGGGGTTTCACCATGTTGGTCAGGCTGGTTGAGGACTCCCACCTCAAATGACTTCCCGCCTGGCCTCTCGTACAGGTGGAAATGCTGGGCGTGATCCACCACGCCCCAGCCACATAGTTCTTATGTTAAGACAGGGTCTCTGGGTCACCCAGGCTGGAGGCAGTGGCGCGATCACAGCTCACTGTTTGCCTCGACCTTCAAGCCTGGGCCGGTCCTCCTGCCTCAGTGCGCCCGCGTAGCCAGGACTGCAGGGGCACAGTGCCATGCCTGGCTAATTTTTTTTTTTTTGAGATGGAGTTTTGCTCTTGTTGCCCAGGTTGGAGTGCGGTGGTGTAATCTTGGCTCACCGCAACCTCCTCACCCTGGGTTCAAGCAATTCTCCTGCCTCAGCCTCCCAAGTAGCTGGGATTACAGTCATGTACCACCACGCCCGGCTCATTTTGTATTTTTTTTTAGTAGACAAGGGATTTCTCCATGTCAGCTGTGATAGTCCTAAACTCCTGACCTCAGGTGACCCGCCTGACCCGGAGCCTCCCAAACTGCTGGGATTACAGGCGTGAGCCACCTTGCCTGGTCCGGGCTAATTTTTTTTTTTTTTTTTTTTTTTTTGAGACGGAGCTCGTCTGTCGCCCAGGCTAAAGTACAGCGGCGAATCTCAGCTCACTGCAAGCTCCGCCTCCTGCTCCAGCATTCTTCCTTGCCTCAGCCTCCTAAGTAGCTGGGACTACAGGCGCCCACCACCACGCTGCCAGCCTGTTTTGTATTTATTAGTAGAGACAGGGTTTCACAGTGTTAGCCAGGATGGCCTCGATCTCCCTGGGACATTACTGTGATCCGGCCACCTCGGCCTCCCAAAGTGCTGGGATTATAGGCGTGAGCCATCGCCCCGGCTGTTTTTTTTTGAGCTCGGCTGGCTCAAACTTGAGCTATCAGAGATGCTCCTACCTTGACCTTGTGAAGTTCTGGGATTACAGACGTGAGCCCCCATGCCCAGTCAGGGTTTTCTTTGTTTTTGTTTTTGTTTTGTTTTTGTTTTGATACAGAGTCTCACCTGTCGCCCCATACAAGTGCAGCGTGTGCGATTTCGGCTCGCTGCAAACTCTGCCTCCTCAGGCTGAAGTGACTGCTTCCAGCTCTCCCACGTAGCTGGGACTACAGTTGTGCCACCAAGCCTGGCTGATTTTTGTATTTTTAGTTTAGACAGGGTCTCACCATGTTGGCCAGGATGTTCTCAAAGTCCCTACCTCAGGTGATCTGCCCGCCTCGGCCTCCCAAAATACTACGTTACATGCAAGAGCCACCGTCCCTGGCCCTGGTCAGGCTTTTGAGTTTATATCCATGAAAGTGTGGCCGGGCCCTGCTCCCTGCAGGAGGGAGGCCTGTGGACCTCTGCTGTGGCTGTTTACAAGGCTTTGCTCCTGGTACCTAAGGCTTGAACCTTCTCTCTGCAGGAGGAGATAAACGAGACCCCAAAGCAACCAGTACGCCTTCCTAAACTACATGAAGGATCGCAGCAACAAGTGAGGAGCCCCTGGGGTCCTGGGCCCCTGTGGTAGGGATTTGTGCCATCGCCTTGGTTCCTACCGTGACCTCAGGGGCCCTGGATCACAGTGCTGGGCAGCACCCATGGCCTCAACGTGCCCACCTCGGATGTCCCCTGGGAACGGCCCAGCTCGGGACAGCATGGGGCGTCACTGAGGAACATGCGGGGACTCCGGGCAGAGCCGGGTCAGTCCTGTCCTCAGGGCTCCCAGCGGTGCCGCCCAGCTTGCAGGTCCCTCTGCCCCTGGGTTTCCGCGGTCCTGTGCCGGCAAGGGAGGTGGTCTGATGGTCTGAGGTTCTGCTGGTCTCCCTTGGAGGGTGAGGGTGCCCTGGTGTGGGAGATGGAGACACGCTTGTCTCTACGGGAAGCTGGCACGAGCAGGTCTTGTGTGTGTTTGGGCGGAGCGGCGGGGGCCTCGGCCCCCGACCCAGATGCTGGACAGGGGTGCTCCTCCAGGCTAGGGGCCCTCCCACATTGTGCGTCTGAGCTGCTGCCCAGACGTCCCCAGGTGGATGGCCCCATGGCCAGGCTCCCTAGCCCCTCCCAAATCCCCTAAGTTTGAGTTTTCTTGGTCTCCTGGGCCCCTCCAGCCCCGGTCACATGTCACAAGGAGGATGAAGTCCCACAGGCGGCCGTGGCCGACTCCTCAGGCCACGCTGGGTTCCTGGCTCAGCTGCTGCCGGTAGACGCTCCTGAGCCTGGCTCAGGTCCTTCCCAGAGAGGCAGGGCTGAGGTCCCAAGTTGAGCCTCCGCTTTTTAATCTGGCCTCCAAGGTCCTGCTCCTGGCTGGCGTGGCCACTCTTGACATGGACTCTGTGCCGTGACGCGCTCCCAGCACGGCAGGGTCAGGCAGCAGAGGAGTGGGTGGTCCTGGCGCTGCCTATCACTGGGCGAGTGTCAGCGAGGAAGCGCCTACACGGGATGAGAACAGGCTCCGGTAGCCGGCCGGGGGACAGCTGGGCGTGGTGGGGCAGGCGTGACCAGGGCTGTGCCTGTCCTCCCGGTGTTTCCTGTGCCTGCCAAGCTGCCGCTTTGATTCTCCCGGAAAGTCTCCCCTGGGGGACTAAGGAGCCCGTGTGTTCCCTCGGGCAGCTCTTGGCCGGGCAGCCCCAGCATTTCCTTCCCCATCCCTGCTCCGCAGATTCATGCTGGTCCTGACCTGCCGCACCCGGATCAGCTGCACTGGGATCCACGACCGCATCAATGTGATGCTTTACTTCGACCTGCCCGGCCCGGAGGAGCGGGAGCGCCTGCTAAGAATGTATCTTGACAAGTATGTTCTTATCCCGGCAACAGAAGGAAAACAGTAAGTGTCTCGCCTCACCCACCCCTGTCCAGGGACCTCGGTCAGGGCTTCCACTCCCGGCCCTGCTCTCCAGAGGATCCCAGCAGGCCCAGTCTCCGGTGGCACCGCTTCCCCTGCTCCTGCGGTTTTGCGCAGGAGCCCTGTGGGCCCCAAGGGTCCCAGAGGCTGCACCCAGGATGCCACCACCCTTCTCATCCCCACCTGAGAACAGGCTGGTGGTGTCTCGGGTTTGGGGGGCAGAGCCCACCATCACTTAAGCAAACCTTCAATTTTTTTTTTTTTTTGAGACAGTCTCGCCTTGTCCCCTAGGCTGGAGTGCAGTGGCACGATCTCAGCTGACTGCAACCTCCGCCTCCTGGGTTCACGCGATTCGCCTGCCTCAGCCTCCTGAGTAGCTGCGATTATAGTGTGCTCCGCCACCACACCCAACTGCTTTTCGTATTTTTGTAGAGATGCAGTTTCCACCATGTGTTGGCCAGGCTGGCTCCAAACCCTGACCTCTGTGTGATCTGCCCGCCTTGGCCTCCCAGCAGTGCAGGGATTACAGATGCCAGCCACTGTGCCCAGCCAGCCTCAGGCCTCTGGGCAGTGAGGGAGGTGGACGTGGAGGTTGCCTGAGACCCTGGCTGTTGGGATCTCGAGAGACGCTCCTCATGAGAGCCCCGTGTTGGGACTGGAGAGGATCCCTCATGGTGGCCTCAAGCGGCTGCTGGCCTGGCCTTCCCTCCAGTTGCCACGCCTGGCCCTGAGCCTCATGGTGGTGTGGGGCGCGGCCCGGCTGCACTTGTACCCTGGAGGCCTTCAGGCTCCCTGTCGCTGGCGGTGCAGAAGGCACGTGGGCAGAGCCCTCCAGGTGATGAGTCCCTGGGCTGCACGCCGGCTGCCTCAGGAACACCCAGATGAGCAGAGGCTGCTCCACCTCTGGCGTCCCCAGGTCTTGGGTTTCGGGTCCTTCTGTGCACCTGACGTAAATTCCTGCTGCTCCAGTGACAGCAAAAGCCGCTCTGTTCCAAAGAGAGCCTGTCTCCCCTGCCAACCTCTCCGCATGCCTGCTCCATGCTAGCCCCAGCTTATCCTTGCCTCAGTTTCCCTTTGGCCTCCCGCTCGCTGAGCTCTCCCACTCCGACGGCCGGGTTTCGTGAGTCTCTGGCACCATGACTTGGCTTCTGTGGCCTCCAGGAGAGATGCTTTGCTGGGAAGTCAGGCTCTGCCACTGCCACTGTAATGGCAATGAGCCCTGTGGGTGCTGAGTGGGCAGGTGTGGGCAGGGCTGGTGTGAAGAGGGGTTCGCCATCCTCCAGGCCCCACAGCAGTCGCCACTTCCTTTGCTCAGCCCAGACCTGGGTTTGCATCATGGAGAGGGTGGAGTTTGGCTGTCACAGGAAGAGTCCCTCCCAAGGGGACACCTGGCATGGGTGCCCGCCTGGCTGCCTGTCTTCCAGCCCCCACCTCGTGGTGTGGGAGTCAGCTGTGCCTTGGCCGGCCCACTCTGGGAATCCCTTCCCCAGGTGCCTGAAGCTGGAAGTGTTTCACTATGGGCGGAAGTACGAGGAGATCGCTGAGCTGACGGAGCACATGTCGGGCCGGAGATCGGTGAGCTGGCTCACTCCTGGCAGGTGAGTTTGCCTGGCGCACCCACCCAGGACGGGAGCCCAAACTGCTGTGGAGACGCTCGGTTGTGCCTCTGTCCTACACCAGTGTCAACAGCAGCTTCTGTTGAGGGGTTTTCGGTGCATTGGTGACGGACACGGGCACCTGCCCCGGTGGGCCACTCCACACACTCCGTGCGCCTGCTCCTGCCCCCAGAAGGGTGTGGCATGTCCGTGGCTAACGCCGCAGGTCAGGAAGCCCGTCCGGCCTCCCAGTATCCGGCTCTGCCAGGTGGCCAGGAGGCTTTCGATGCTCACCTTGGCAGATGGGCACCCCCTGGTGTGAATGGTCATCAGGACAGGCCCCACCTGAGTTTGGTGGTGGGGCTGGAGGGATGTTGTGTTTCCTGACCATGGCCGTTGGCTTGATCTTGCTTGACGGGCTCAGACCCATGGGCAGGAGTGACCTCTGATTGTCCCACAGCCGGCTGCTCTCGAGGCCCCTCCTGCAGCTCCGAGGCTGTTGCAGGGACGGGGAGCCAGGACTCAGAGCAGTGTGGGCATGGCCATCCAGAAAGCTTTGGTCTTTGGGGGTTGCTGGAAAAGCAAACCAGGTCTGGTGGAAGGCACCAAGGCTTAAGCAGACAGGCACGCTTGCCTCTGGGGTCTGCAGAGTTCAGACAACCTGGTCACCCACCTAGCAGCGCTTTCTCGTGTGACAGGGTCATGAAGTAGCCAGTTACCTGATTTGAATGTTGGCGCCAGGGTCTGTAGGGGCTATTAGTCCTAGACAGGCTGGGTTATGCCTCTGTGACAAAGAGCCCCAGATCTCAAACCCTATCCTTGTGGGTGAGCTGATGTCTGTGTTCTGTTCCAGGTCGCCTCCACTTCTGGGACCACGTCTGTTTCCACAACTAAGCAAGCAGAGGCCAGGCATGGTGGTGGGCTGACGCTTGTGTTCCTCAGCATTTGGGGTCAAGTCAGGCCAGATTATTTGAAGCCAGGAGTTCAGGACTAGCCTGGAAAACAAGGGGAGACCCCGATCTCTACAAAAAATAAAAATATTAGCTGTCCTAATTGTGCATGCCTGTAATGCCAGCTGCTTGAGGCTGAGGTGGGAGGATCACTTGAGTCCAGGAGCCAGAGGCTGCAGTGAGCTGAGATTGTGCCACTGCACTCCAGCCTGGGTTACAGAGTGAGACCCTGCCTTAAAAAAATAAGAATAATTTGGCCGGGCATGGTGGCTCACGCTGTAATCCCAGCATGCTGAGGCTAGCGAGAGGATCACTCTGAGGCCAGGAAATAAGACCAGCCTGGCTAACATGTTGAGCCCCACCCTCTACTAAAAATACAAGAATTGGCTTCAGGCATGGTGTTGGTGCATGCCTGTATTCTCAGCTACTCAGGGGGCTGAGGCAGAAGTGAATTGCTTGAACTCCTGAGGTGGAGGTTGCAATGAGCTGAGATGGTGCCATTGAAATTCCAGCCTGACTATTCAGGATCCTTGAGATTCCATATGAATTTTAGGAAGGTTTTCCTATTTTTGTAAAACGTAATTGGGGTTTTCACAGGGACTGTGTTTAGTCTCTATGTTGCTTTGATGTCTCTCAGCAATATTCTGTGGTTTTCTGTTTCCTAGACGGAGTCTCACTCTGTTGCCCAGGCTGAGTACAGTGTTGTGATCTCAGCTCACTGCAACGTTCTCCTCCCAGGGTAAAGTGATTCTCCTGACTCAGCCTCCTGAGTAGCTGGGATTCCAGGCACGTGCCACCACGCCCTGCTAATTTTTGTACTTTTAGTAGAGATGGGGTTTCGCCATGTTGGCCAGGCTGGTCTCGAACTCCTGACCTCAGGTAATCCACCCACCTCAGCCTCCCAAAGTGCTGGGATTACAGGCACGCGCCACCACGGCTGGCTAATTTTTGTATTTTTAGTAGAGACGAAGGATTCACCATGCTGCCAGGCTGGTCTTGAACTCCTGACATGAGGTAATCCATCTGCCTCAGCCTCCCAAAGGGCTGATCTTGGTGACGTGAGTCACTGTGCCATGCCTGGCCAGTTTTCATTGTACAAGTCTTCACCTTCTTGTTTAAGTGAATTTTCAAGTATTTTATTCTTTCCGCTGCTATTGTAAATGGAAACGGTTTCACTCCCCGCCTGCTTATTCACTGTTGGGATGGAGAACTGCAGCCGCTTCGCTGTTGATTTGTATCCTGTAAGAGTTTGCTGATGTCACGGGGTTTTTCTTCCAATGTGGATTCTAGGATTTTCTACATATAAGATTGCGTCAATTGAGAACAGGTGATTTTCCGTTTCTCTTTCAGTTTGGATGACTTTTCTTTTCTTGTCTAATTGTTTCAGCCAGAGCTTCCAGTGGTGTGTGGAATAGAAGGGTAGCATTCTGCCTGGTTTCCTTACCTCAGAGGAAAAGCTTTGTTTCCACCACTGAGTATGTCACCTATGGGCTTGTGATATGTGGCCTTCATTGTGCTTAGGCGATCCTTCAATTGGTTTCCTGAGTGTTTTTATCATAAAAGTGTGAGGCGGGTGGATCACCTGAGGTCGGCAGTTCGAGTCCAGCCTGACCAACGTGGAGAAACCCCATCTCTACTGCAAATACAAACTTAGCTGGGCATGGCGGCATGCCCGTAATCGCAGCTACTCGGGAAGCTGAGACAGGAGAATCACGTGAATGGGGCAGGCAGAGGTTGCACTGAGCCGAGATCGCGCCATTTGCACTCCAGCCTGGGCAAGAAGAGCAACATTGTCTCCAAAAACAAAAAAAGTGGCCAGGCACGGTGGCTCACACCTGTAATCCCAGCACGTTGTGAGGCCAAGGCAGGTGACCATGAGGTCATGAGATCGAGACTATCTCATAACACGGTGAAACCTCTGTTTCTACTAAAAATATAAAAAATTAGCTGGGCATGGTGGCGGCGCCTGTAGTCCCAGCTGGCTGTAGTCCCAGAGGCTGGGGCAAAGCTGTGGAACTCAGCTGGCTGTAGTCCCAGAGGCTGGGGCAAACAATGGCATGAACCCAGAGGCGGAGCATGCAGTGAGCCGAGATGTGCCTGGGCTACAGAGCGAGACCCTATCTCAAAAAAAAAAAAAAGACAAAAAGTGTTGTATTTGGCCGAATACTTTTCCTGCAACACTTGAGACGGTCATGTGGTTTCCTTCCTCCACTCTGCTAATATCGACTGATTTTTGTATGTTGAACATTTCATATGTGAAGCATTGATTTTCTTTATGTTGAACTATCGCTGCATTCAGGAATAAATCCCCTGCTTGGTCAGGTATAGAGTCCTTTAACTATACTGCTGAATCTGTTCTGCTGGCATTTTGTTGAGGACTTTCCCAGCTATACTCATCAGGATATGGCCTGTCATTTGTCTTGTGATGCCTTTGTCTGGGTTTGATATCAGGGTAATGCTGGACTCCTAGGACGAGTGAGGAAATGTTCTTCAATTTGTCCAAGAGTTTGAAGAATGCTGCTTACTCTTGTTTGATTTTATTTATTTTTTTGAGACGGAGTCTCGCTCTGCTTCCCAGGCTGGAGTGCAGTGGCCGGATCTCAGCTCACTGCAAGCTCCGCCTCCCGGGTTCACGCTATCTCCTGCCTCAGCCTCCGGAGTAGCTGGGACTACAGGCGCCCGCCCCACCCGGGCTGGTTTTTTGTATTTTTTTTTAGTAGAGACGGGGTTTCACCGTGTTAGTCAGATGGTCTGATTTCTGACCTCGTGATCCGCCTGCCTCGGCCTTCCAAAGTGCTGGGATTACAGGCTTGAGCCACGCGCCGCTCCTGATTCTTCTTGTTTTGTGAATTGACACGTGAAGACATCAGGTCCAGGTCTTGTGTTTCAACTTTTACAGCTTGAAGACTTGTGCCCCCAGAAGAATTTCCAGGGTAGCACAGAGAGCCCCGGCCGGGGCCTTGCCACGTGGTGGACGCTATGTGTCACTGTTGGCCCCACCTGGGACTGGTTCCGGCCTGCAATCCCACCTAGGAGGCCATGTGGACATTAGCTGTCACTTGGTGGGCCTCTGCCAGGTCCCGCAGTTTCCTGGTGTGGGGCAGCCCGCGAGCATCTGCTCAGCCCCTTTCTCTGCTGCTTCCTGGGTTAGGTGTGCAGCCACTTGGGTGCACCCTGAGGGTTCCTGCACCTGTTTGAACTCTCTTGGGTGGGCTCAAGACCAAAAATGATGCTGAGCAGTCCTGGGTCCCTGATGCACAGCGGTGGTCCGGTTCCGGCCGTGGCCTCCTGCACTCCTGGGCCCCTGAGCCACAGTGGTGGTCCAGCTCCAGTCAGTGTCTCCCCCACAGTGGCTCTGGCGAGGGGTGGGCACTGCCTGAGGGGACGGGAACCACGTGGTCATCCCCATGGCAGGTCCTGGCCGTGGCAGCCGTGTCGGGAGGATGAGGCGCTGCTGCCCCTTTACCCTGTGAGATGAATCCTGGTTTCTGGGAGGCACAGCCGGGACGGGGTGAGTGGACCTCAGCTGTCCGGGAAGCGGGCCCTCGCCCTGTGCTTCCTCCAGGCGTCCTGGTGCAGTCCCGAGCATGGTGCCCAGTGGGGTGCCTACCCTCACCCTGACCATGGGTGTTTCTCCTTGGGGACTCACACCTTCACTGGCACTGGGATGGAGAGCTAATTGTCCATGGCAGGAGGGGGCTGCACCTGAGGTGTCAGAAGCGACACCAAGGGCCACAGTCCCAGCAGCTCCAGACTCTGTGTGCTGGATGCCAAGTCCTGTGCCCAGGACAGGGAGGTGGAGGCAGGGGTGACCTTGATGCTAGCACCTATGTGCCTGGCGGTTGGGCAGTGGCTGCCTCTGTCCCGGAGGCCTTATGAAGGTGAGGGTCTGAGGATCTGCAGTGCACTGTGACCCGGGCACTGCCCTGGCCACGGCTGAGACACACAGAGGGTCTGCAATTCCCTCCTGCCTCTTGTGAGCTGCCCTGGGTCTGCCGGGCCAGTGGGCTCGGCCTGGGCTTTCTGTGATTGAAAGTCACTGAGAAACTGCAGTGCTGAGGACCCAGTCAGGGCTGTGGCCACACATGCTGGGCTCTGCCGAGGTACAGGAAGCCTATGATTCACCCTGAGGCCGGCCTGGTGCCCCGGGTTTGGCCCCTCCCCACCTCGGGGCCCTGGTGTGTGTTACGGGTGGGGGGTTCCCCTGGCGGCCTCCCTCAGCTCCCTCTCTTCTCACTAGACCATGGCGTATGCCTCCGAGGACGAGGACGGGGTCCTCACCGAGGCCATGTTGGATGCCTGTGTGCGAGACTTTCTCCGGCAGCAGGAGCAGAAAATGCGCTGGCGGAAGAGCCATGGCCTGGCCCCGAGGACGAGCACCCCTCAACCTGAGTCCGCGGCGAGACCACACCTCACGGAGCCTGGCTGCGGACCCCTCCCACCCCTGCCTTTCCAGTCCCTGCACAGTTAGGAAATGCTCCCCGTAATAAAGTCCCGCAGGTGCCGCACCGCTGTCTATTGGCTGATATGGGGCGGGGTTTGGGTCCCCTAGCGTCCTCCTGGGGTCAAAGGTGACAGAAAAGACAGAGGCTGGAGCTTTCTGGAGAATTTAACCAGAGGGGTGGGCTTCACATGAGGTGCCTGCCACAGCCACAAAAGTGAAAACCGTCTTTTTTTTTTTTTTTTTGAGAGGGAGTCTGAGTCTGGCTCTGTGGCCCAGGCTGGGGTGCAGTGGCCGGATCTCAGCTCACTGCAAGCTCCGCCTCCCGGGTTTACGCCATTCTCCTGCCTCAGCCTCCCGAGTAGCTGGGACTACAGGCGCCGCCACCTCGCCCAGCTAGTTTTTTTGTATTTTTTAGTAGAGACGGGGTTTCACCGTGTTAGCCAGGCTGGTCTCGATCTCCTGACCTCGTGATCCGCCCGTCTCGACCTCCCAAAGTGCTGGGATTACAGGCTTGAGCCACCGCGCCCGGCCTGAAAACAGTCTTAACTGATGACATTCTAGCATTGTGATTTGTTCCTGCCCCGCCCTACCTGGACAATGTACTTTGTAATCTTCCCCACCCTTAAGAAGGTTCTTTGTAATTCTCCCCACCCTTGAGAATGTACTTTGTGAGATCCACCCCCAGCCCCCAAAACATTGCTCCTAACTCCACCGCCTATCCCAAAACCTGTAAGAACTAACGATAATCCCAGCACCCTTTGCTGACTCTTTTTGGATTCAGCTCTCCTGCACCCGGGTGAAGTAAACAGTCCTGTGGTTCACACAAAGCCTGTTTGGTGGTGTCTTCACACGGACACGCGTGACACAGGGTTCGAGCAATTTTCATGCCTAAACCTCCGGAGTAGCTGGGATTACAGGAGAGCGACACCATACCCAGGTTAACTTTTGTATTTTTGGCAGAGACGGGGGTTTCAGCATGTTGGGCAGGCTGGTCTCAAACTCCTGTTTTCAGGAGATCTGCTCGCCTCCGCCTCTCAAAGTGCTGGGATTACGGGTGTGAGCTACCGTGCCTGGCCGGCATTTTCTGGCTTTTTTTTTTTTTTTTTTTTTGAGACAGAGTCTCACTCTGTCGCCCTAGCTGGAGTGCAGGGGCGAGATCTCAGCAGCTCACCGTGTTAAACGTAAGTTTTCTGCGCTGCCAAAAAAGTAGAACTCAAATATAAACTTTTCTCAGCAAAGCAATTTACTTCTATAGAAGGGGCCGTCTCAAAGTTGGAACAATGGCGAGCGCCTGGACGAGGGAGGGGAAGCGGTTCTTATTCCTGATGCAGGTAGCGCCTACTGCTGTGTAGTTCCTCTACTGGCTAGGGTTAGAACGCACAGTCTAACCTCATGCCCACTGGTCTTAAAGAGAGCAGGAGTATGGGCCAGAGTGGCCAGGTGAGTGGTTTGGTGGGAAAAACGGTTATAGGACAAGTAACTAAAGGTGAATCAGGTCAAAGTAGGTGACCCGGATGAGTTAGGATGGAGCAGGTGACCAGGGGAGAGCAGGTGACCCGGGGAACAGATTGGAACTGTCAGTCCTCGGAGCCCATGCCTGCCTGTAGACATCCAGATGGCCTGAAGCAAGTGAAGAATCCCAAAAGAAGTGAAAATGGCCGGTTCCTGCCTTAACTGAGGACACTCCACCATTGTGATTTGTTCTTGCCCCACCTTAACGTCCTGGCTCCGAAGCTCCCCCACTGAGCACCTTGTGACCCCGCCCCTGCCTGCAAGAGAAAAACCCCCTTTGTAATTTTCCATCATCCACCCACATCCTAGAAAACCGCCCCACCCCTATCTCCCTTCGCTGGCTCTCCTGGGACACAGCCCGCCTGCACCCAGGTGAAATATATCAGCTTTGTTGCTCACACAGAGCCTGTTTGGTGGGGCTTTTACAGGACTGAGACTCCGTGCCTAGCCAGCTTTCTTTTTTTTGTGAGATGGAGTCTTGCTCTGTCGCCGAGCCCTGAGTGCAGTGGCGAGATCTCGGCGGTGCACTGTGTTATACGTAAATTTTCGGTGTCGCAAAACAAGTAGCACTTGAATGTACATTTTTCTCAGCTAGGAAATTTACTTCTATAGAAGGGGGTGTCTCATAGATGGAGCAATGGCGAGCGCTTGGACAAGGGAAGGGAAGGTTCTTTGTCCTGACGCAGGTAATGCCTACTGCTGTGTGGTTCCCTTATTGGCCAGGGTTAGACCTCACAATCTAAATGCGATTGACTTTTTTTTTTTGAGATGGAGTCTTGCTGTGTCGCCCAGGCTGGAGTACAGTGGTGCGATCTTGGCTCACTGCAAGCTCTGCCTCCTGGGTTCATGACATTTTTCTGCCTTAGCCTCCTGAGTAGTTGAGACTACAAGTGTATGCCATCGTGTCCGGCTAATTTTTGTGTTTTTGGTAGAAAGAAATTTCACCACGTTGGCCAGGATGGTCTCGATGTCCTGACCTTGTGATCCACCTGCCTCGGCCTCCCACAGTGCTGGGATTACCGGCATGAGCCACCACGCCTGGCCTCAAGTGGTTCTTTAAAGTCTGATTCATTCTTTCTACATTCCCTGATGATGGTGGGTGTCAAGGAGTGTGGTATTCTTATGTAATGTCTGATGTTTGGAATAGCAATTTTTTTTTTCCGGCAGAGTCTTGCTCTGTCGCCCATGCTAGAGTGTAATGGCACCATCTTGTCTCAGTGTAACCTCTGCCTCCCGGGTTCAAACAATCCTCCTGCCTCAGCCTCCTGAGTAGCTACGATACAGGTGCAGACTGAGACGTTCGGCTAATTTTTTGTATTTTAGTAGATGGGGTTTCACCATGTTGCTCAGGCTGGTCTGAAACTCCTGAGCTCAGGTGATCCACCCGCCTCGGCCTCCCAAGGTGCTGGGATTACAGGCATGAGCCACCGTGCCCGGCCTACACCGATAACTTAGAGCAAACTTTACTTTTGTTGAGAACTTTGTAAGTTTGGGATTTTAATTATCCTTTGCTATTAATAGGACTTCACTCAGTCTAATACATATATATTTTTAACGTATAAGCCATGTCAAAGGCATACTTAGAATTGGTATAGATGCTTCCTTCCTGGTTCTCTAAGTATTTTAAGGCTTGGCTGAGTGCAAACAGCTCAATATGCTTAAGCACTTGGGTTTAGATGGTTCCTTCCTGGCTCTCTAAGTATTTTAAGGCTTGGCTGAGTGCAAACAGCTCAATATGCTTAAGCACACCAATTATTAGGAAACTTTCTTAGCCTTTCTATTTTTTTTTTTTTGGGACGGAGTCTCTGTCGCCCAGGCTGGGAGGCAGTGGCCGATCTTGCTCACTGTAAGCTCCACCTCCTGCTCCTCTCTCTCTCTCTCTCTCTCTGAGATGGAGTCTTGTTCTGTCGGGCCAGTGGGGCTGAGGCAGTGGGAGCAATCTCGGCTCACTGCAATCTCCATTCTTCTGCCTCAGCCTCCTTAGTAGCTGCGACTACAGGCACCTGCCACCGTGCCTGGCTAATTTTTTTGTCTTTTCTAGAGACAGGGGTTTCACCGTGGCTAGCCAGGATGGCCTGATTTCCTGGGACCTTGATCCGCCCCTCTCAGCCTCCCAAGTGCTGGGATCTCCAGGCGCAGCTTTTGCCATGCCAGCCTAATTTTATTTTTAAAAGAATGGGGCAGATTGCTTTTCTTACTACTTCTATCCTTTCTCTCTTCTCTCTTTGACACTGTCTCTCTCTCTACTTTCTCTGTTCCCCTGGGCTGTGTGTTTCCTCTATGATGTTTTTTTTTTTTTTTTTTTTTTTGAGACGGAGTCTTGCTCTGTCACCCAGGCTGGACTGCATGGCCGGATCTCAGCTCACTGCAAGCTCCGCCTCCTGGCTTACGCCATTCCCCTGCCTTCAGCCTCCGGAGGCTGGGACTACAGGCACCCGCCACCTCGCCCCGGCTAGTTTTTGTATTTTTAGTAGAGACGGTTTCACCGTGTTAGCCAGGATGGTCTTGACTCCCTGACTCTGATCCTACCTGCCTCGGCCTCCCAAAGTGCTGGGATTACAGGCTTGAGCCACCGCGCCCGGCCTCCTCTAACATGTTTTTTTCTGCTCTAACTCCTTTTATAGGCTTATTTTTCAGTTCTCTTTCCTTTGTAATTTGTGGTTAATACCTGGCCAATTGTTAGTGGACAAATTCTCTTGCCCAAGAGATCTCAGCACCTAAACCAGCATATTCTCTCATTCTTTAGAATTCTGTTCTTTTCTTTTTTTTCTTTTTTTTGAGGCGGAGTCTCACTTGTGGCCCAGGCGCTGGAGTGCAGTGGCGTGATCTCAGCTCACTGTGCAGCTCCGCCTCCCGGATTTCCAGGCCATTCTCCTGCCTAGCCTGGCAGGGCTGGGACTACAGGCTTCGCCACCTCGCCCAGCTAGTTTTTTGTATTTTTGTAGAGACGGGGTTTCGCCGTGTCAGCTGTGGATGGCCTCTGATCTCCTGACCTCGTGATCCGCCCGTCTCGGCCTCCCAAAGTGCTTGAGATTACAGGCTTGAGCCACCGCGCCTCAGCCGTCTCTCTCTCACTTTCTCTGTTCCCCCTGTCAGTGTTTCTCTTTCCTCTAAGATGTTTTTTTCCTGTCTCAGAATCTCTTCTATAGGCTTATTTTTCTAGTTCTGTTTCCTTTGTAGTTTGTGGTTAATACCTGGCCAATTGTTAGTGACAAATTCCTTGCCCAAGAGGATTCTTGACACCTAAACCAGCATATTCTCTAATTCTCTTAATCTGTTCTTTTCTTTTACTTTGAGACGGAGTCTCACTCTGTCGCCTAGGCTGGAGTGCAGTGGCACGATCTCGGCTCACTGAAAACTCCACCTCCCAGGTTCACGCCACCATCCTCCTGCCTCAGCCTCTCAAGTAGCGGGGATTACAAGCGCCCGCCGCCGCGCCCGGCTAATATTTTGCATTTTTAGTAGAGATCGGGTTTCACCATGTTAGCCAGGATAGTCTCCGTCTCTTGACCTCATCATCCGCCCACCTGCGTCTCCCAAAGTGCTGCGATTACGGGTGTGGGCCACTGCACCTGGCCAAACATGTTTATGGTAAATTTTTGTGATGGGAAAACTGTCATCCCAGAAAATTTTGAGACCTGATGCTTAGGCCTCAGCAGCTCGGAAAATACGTA